CGAAAGACTCTTTTAGGACAATCATGGCTCTTGTAGCACATTATGATTTGGAGCTTCATCAAATGGATGTCAAGACGGCGTTTCTCAATGGCAACATTGATGAGACGATTTATATGGTACAACCAGAAAATTTTGTGCAGGGAGATTCAAAGAATATGGTTTGCAAACTGACAAAATCCATTTATGGACTAAAGCAAGCATCTCGTCAATGGTACTATAAATTTCATCAAGTAATTCTCTCATTTGGCTTCGAGATGAATATTGTTGATGATTGTGTATATCACAAGTTTAAAGGGAGTAAGTATATTTTCCTGATCTTGTATGTTGATGACATTCTACTTGCCACTAATGATATAGGCATATTGCACGAAACCAAGAAATTTTTATCAAAGAATTTCGAAATGAAAGATCTTGGTGGTGCGTCTTTTGTATTAGGAATTCAGATACACCGAAATCGATGTCGGGGTATTTTGGGATTATCACAAAGGAGCTATATCAAAAAAAATCTTTAAAGGTTTGGCATGCATGAATGTAAATTCGGGGATACTCCAGTTGCTAAGGGAGACAAGTTTAGTCTCAATCAGTGCCCAAAGGGAAATTTGGAAATTGAGAAAATGCAAAAGATTCCTTATGCATCAGTTGTAGGGAGTTTGATGTACGCCCAAGTATGTACGCGTCCAGACATAGCATACATAGTTGGGGTTCTAGGCAGATATTTAAGCAATCCAGGAATGGACCATTGGAAAGCAGCAAAAAGGGGTCATGAGATATTTAAAGAGAACAAAAGATTACATGCTCACATACAGGAGATCAGACCAGTTGGAGATCGCTGGGTTTTCTGATTCGGACTTTGCAGGATGTCAAGATAGTTTGAAATCCACTTCAGGTTACATTTTCATGTTAGCAGCCCTTACAGCTTCATCCACTATGGCAGTAGAATTTGTAGCATGCTATAAGGCATCAAATCATGGAATATGGCTGAGAAATTTTGTCACAGGGCTGCAAATTATGAAAGGCATTGAAAGACCACTTAAATTATATTGTGACAACAAATCAGCTGAATTGTATTCCAACAACAACAGAAGTTCGACTAAGTCAAAGCACATCGACATTAAGTTCCTAGTTGTTAAGGAAAGAGTACAGAGTGGACAGATTTCCATAGAACATTTAGGGACAAACTCCATGATAGCAGATCCTCTAACTAAAGGACTTCCGCCCAAGGTCATGAACATGTTGCTCACATGGGTGTTTTACAGTTTGAGGAATTTGTGGTTTAGTGGGAGTTAGTCACTTTCATATATTTTATGTTCTATGTTTAATTTCATATATCTATACATTTATTTTTGGGCATATTTGGTTATCTATAGATATGCGGGTTTTTTGTTCATTCATTACACTTTGTACATTAAGTATATTATATCGATCTCGATAAGTTAAAGTTTGGACCAGTTGAAAATAGACGTGTACAAATCACCTTCACGTAATTTTTCATGCTACACATTTCATGATGAATCTATGTCATTTGGTTATGTTAGGATGAGTAATCATTGTTGGTTTTAGTTGCGATGATGCAATGAAAAGCTGTTTTGGTTCCATATCCTGATATGATTAATGGACAGGACTTTTGGAATATGCTAAAGGAATATAATGGCAATTTTGAGCTCATAAAGTCTAACACATTTGTAAGGTTGTAAGGACATATATATTTTTGACCAGTGGGAGATTGTTGGCAAAATTTGGGTCATGTATATATATGATACATATTTAAATGTGTTAGGGTCATTATTTATTAAGCCAAATAATAAAGTGATCTGACTAAATTAAAAGGTTTGGCTAAAGGGATATGTCATGAAAATAAAATTGTGTAGAGACCATAGAGCAATTTCTAATTTGATGAGGGGCCAAATTGAAAATACTAAAACTTAAGTAATTAACCTAATTTTGGTTATTTTAAGGGGTCATAGTCCCCTTCTGGCAGCACGTAGACAGAACGTAGTTACAATCCCATTCTTTTCTTTCTATCCCCATCAAGAGAGAAAATCAAGAGGGAAATACAGGTGCTCTTCAGGTGGAAGACCATAAGATCAATAGTGCTCTAAAAGGGACATCATCATTATGGCTAATTCAGGTATGCTTTCGCATTTAGTTTACAATATGTTTATGAGTATGAGATTACTTTATATTTGATCGTTAGATTGAAGATCATATTTAATTATCAGTTTACCTAATATATACGACATGAACAATCAACAGAACCTATAACGACATGCATCTACAAGGAAATGGATCACTCAACTCAAAATAAGCCAAAAAAATTACTTATTTTATCATACTAAAGACACAAAAATGATAATAAAATATATTTCACTTTTGATATTAATATATTTATCTCTTTTAATTATTATTATTATTATAATTTGAATTTTTTTATTTACAAACTTATAAAAAAAATATTATGACATTATTAAAATATATAACATTATAAATATATATAAAAATGTAAAAATATATAATATTATTTTATAATTAAAAAAATTACACGTGTTATCAAACACAACTTTTATTAAAAAAAATTGGCAAAACTGTTTTATGTAGTATACTTGCTTAAAAAAAAAACTCAATCCAAAATCATGCGGAAATACAATTTTCTCACAACCAACTCATCTCTCATATACAACTTACACATTTTTAAAATTTTTTAAAATTTACTTCACCAAATTAATATATTATTCCTTATATTATTATAATTTAGATATAGAATAAATTTTTTATTTTTCCACTTTAAGTTTTTTTTTTTAAGTATGGAACCTTTATTTAAGATGATTTTGAAATAATTTTAATTTTAATAGTTAAATTGGGTAGTAAAAGATAACATGTATTTACTAGACTGAAGTAGAAAAGAAATGTCATTTTCATTCAAAATTATAAATGCATGTCATAAAACAAAATTTGATTAAAAACGATTTTTTTTCTTAAGTTATGTTTAGTCTCATTTGAGTTTTAAACCTAATAATAGACTATTTCATAAAATATATTTTTATTTTTGTAGTTATTTTTTAAAAAATATCTTGTACAAAGTTGGGTAATTGACTAGATAGATACCATGATTATAATAAATTTGTTCTAACGTAGTCTTTTTCAAAAAATTTATTTTTTATTTTTTTTGTGAAACTTTGCCTATGAATCATATTATCGTGGGGACGATATATTTTGAACATTGACTAGAAATATTAAAAATTGAAGGAGATTAAGATAAGACGTGAACAATAAGAAGAAGATAACAACATTTTTTTTATTTGTTTTATGTCAATTTATCAAATGAATTTTTTTATAAAAGAAATTTAATCATTGAAATTTTGTTGAAACTTCTTGCTATAATTGTAATTAATTCACCGATAAAGCAGTTAATAACTTAAACTACAAAAGACTTAAAATTTGTCATAATTAAACCTCATCAAAGAGTTTGAGATGAACACATAATCATATGTAAAATGAGGTAAACACAATACGAGAAAAAATTAAAAAAATATAGCAAAAACTATACATAAAAGATAAATAATGCTACCAAATAGAATAATTTTTATTCTAAAAGAGAATTCGTCATAAATTTTGTGACGAATATATTAAGTTTGTCATAAAAATTTTAAATTTATTTTATAACGGATTTTGTTAAATATTCATCACAAAATCATAAAACTCTTAAAATTTTATTCAATACTAACATTTGTGGCGAAAAACGTTCATAATTACTTCTTTTGTCACAAAATATGTCACAATTTCAATAATTCATATGTAGCTTAAGCTACTATACGAGTTAGCTTTAATGATAAAAAATGTGACAAATTTTGAACATGAATTTTTTTTATAATGGCAAGTTTGAAACCATTCACAAAATTGTCATTCCAAAATAAAAAATAATAATTTATTTATATTATACCTTTTACAATTTCAGAAACAATTTTTGAAAAAATAATCTTTTTTTTTGAGAAAAAAATTTATCATATATTTTCTAGCTTTGACATTAGAGGAATTTTTATTTAGCAAAACCACTTGAGTCAAATAATAAAATGTTAAATTCAATTATGTATATATTATAATATTATTATATTTTTAACCAATTTTATCGTACTCATATCCCTAATTTATTGATGGTTTTTTATCATCATAGAAAAATAATTTTTTTTAATGTTTCCATTTGATCAATTGAGATGTAGAATTGTGTATTATTTGAAATATGCCCATATGTTTGTTTAGTTTTAGTTCAATATAGAAATAATTTCTACTACAATTTCTGAAATTCACTTATGTTGCAGATGACCCATTAACGTGGAAAACAATTGAGACTATCCAAGATAGTACGTGAGGTTTATTAAATGGAATTGCTATGGTGATTCTTGACTATAATTTTTCAAAAAAATACCAATTCCTTATGTTCTATGTTATTATTTTGTCTTTTGGTTCACTTGACACTATATATATATATATATATATATATATATATATATATATATATATGTATGTATGTATGTTGACATTCATGTTTTTATTATTTGTTTCTTCCTAAATTTTGAAGTTATAAACTAAATATTAAACATTTAGGTAAAAGGTAGTGGTGCTCACTTGTTTAGAAACTTGCAAAGTAGAATTGTTTTGCATAAATTTGATAAGTTAATTAAAAAGAACGTAGTACAATTTAAAACTACAACATTATGTTGGAAAATTGATTGAAGACCAAGGGGGTTGGAATAAGTAGTAAGGCACTTATTGTATCATATCAATTTCTCTTATTTAATTTCATTTCTCAAACTTTCTTTATAGATGGCAACCCAATAAAAAAGAAGTTTCTAATAATAAGTGCAACCCAATACTAATTTTATTCTTCTCCAACTTAACTTAACATGGTGGTAGTCATAATTGGTAGAAAACAAACGAGGAAACCGTCACAACACAACAATCTATACGAGAAACCATGCATATGGATATGCAAACTTGTAGCTTAATTATTCTTTTCTAGTCAATAATACGGTGACATTGATGAACTCAGTTTTTTCCTTGGACATTCGATCAGCCAAGATTTCCCGGTAGCGGCTGAAAACCTCTTCAATGATATCTTCACCAAAGTGGCTAACCAGCATGGGTTCTGCCACAGCCCTCATGCACTGTGCCACGTTGTATCCACCATCACCAATTGACTCAAACCTTTCAGATTCAAAGTCAAGAGCGTTCCAATCATCAAAACCGTTCCAGTTCACTGCAGAGACTTGTACACGATTGATCGCAAATGATCCCTCTTTAAGAACTTCCAATTTCACTTCAGATGGGGATGGAGTGTATTGAGGGATGTTGAAACTATCTACTTCCTCTTCCTTTATGATTCCCTGTACCAAACAGTGAAAAGATTTATATTCGTGCATCTTGCCAGGTTTATAAATGTTTCAACAGAGCAACGGATTTAAAGCATTTTTTTTTTTAGATTTTTATACCCGTATATATTTAGGTTAAAATTTTCAAAGAACAATATTATAAACCATATAAAAAACATCATAGATTAGATGGAAAAAAAATGGAGCTAATTCCAAAAAATTGCAGTTGGTGTAACAAGCTATGAAAATTTATATCAGTGAAATCTAATTGTGAAATAAAAGTAACGTGGTTTGGCAAATCAAATTTAATGGTCAAGGTTATTTAGGATTGAAAGCACTGTTTTTGTTTTTATTGGTGTTCTTTGTCTTTGCGCTTTTGTACGCGTAGGTGATAGGGAGGTTCACCATGTGAATTCCATGTTTCCTTTCAGTAATTTCTTGTTTTTTATAGCCGAGGAGGATTAGTTAATTATCTAGAAAACTTCTCGTTCTTCCACGTGGGTATTAAAGCTTCCATATGAATTGGAAATATTATTTAACAAATTAATAACCATCATGAGGTCAAAGACTATTTTTTTAAAGAACAACTTGGGAAAGAGAAAGAAACAAGTCCTTCTTTAATGCTAAGCGTCACATCAAAACTAGGTCATGCATAGTTGACTCAACCTTTCACCTCATGGGAACTGGGTTCCTAATTCATTACCTGTAAAACCATATCATTAAGAGCAGTAGCCATGAGCTCCCAGATGTAGCAACCATCCTTGCTGCATGGATCGTCGTTTCTTCTTCCCAAAAATGTGAGAACCATACGACCTCCTTCAACAAGTTCCTCTGCTCGACACTTGAGAAAAAGACAGAAATCTCTTTGAAATTGGTCATAGTAAGCTCTCACAACATTTGATGGGCTTGTTCTGCTTAAGTAAATATTGCCCTTGTTGTTGTCTACACCCTCAGGAACCTAATATAATTAATCACCAATGAATAATTATGATTTATATTTAATAAAAAACTAACAAAAATATTAGATTAGCATATGCATGTACCTTAGATAGCCATTGAAGGCTGTAAGAGGAATGAACAAAATGCAAACTTCGGTTTGGGAAAACCCTGCCATAGAAAGAACCGGGAACCCCAGAGAAGTAGCATGGACCAATCCTATCTTCCATTTCATCACACAATTTCTCTTTGAAGGTGTCAAGGGACTTAAAGATGTTGTTGAAGTCATTCCCAGGGAGATCATTCAGAAACACCTTGTATTCTGGAGATTTATGGTTCAGCTGTCTGCAAAGCTTCTCCACAGTTTTGATGAGTTCGGACACAACAAACAAAGTGTTTGGTCCTGAGGAGCAACCCAAATCTGCAATTGCCAAATTTTTGGGGAGCGTGCTGCAATAGAGGCTAGTTATGGCTTCCTCTCTTGTTGGCTTTGTCAAACAAATCACCTTTTGCTGCATAACAACCAATGACACAGAATAATTAGTACACTGACCACTGGTTGTACTATATTTCGTCGTGTATAAAATTAACTAATGACTGAGCATACTGCTAACGAGAGGTAAACATAACTAACAATATTGTGAATATTATTATAACATTGCTCTTCAAATCAAATTTATATTTTTATCACTTTGTTTTTTTATGGGTAAAAGCACGATCACAAGGTGAAATTGTTGTGAACATCTTTCACTAGGCTGGAGCTATTTGTTAGGGTAGATAGTTAGTTGCTTATAGAATGTAATCCAATTGAACTTACCTTTTTCATTTTGTAATACAATTCTATTTATCAGTTATACCTCGTTTTTCTTCTTTGAACCATGAATTTTAACAGATACGTTGGAAGTGTACCTGAACAAGAGAGTTGTCAGCATAGCTTGCGTCACCGACACCCCCGTTCATGTGTAGAACCTGTGCTACCTCCATTCTTGTTTTTCTTTTTTTTTTCTTCTGTTCTTTTATCTCTATTTCGCTCGTTTTGGGATTTTCTGCTTATGTGCCTCTGATCAAGCTGATACCACACGCATATATATAGATGTGCGAACACTTTTTGTAACAATAAAAAGTTTGTTTTCTTCAATAAAATAACATATCTTGAGCTAGCCATTTTTTTTCCATGTGAACTCATATGAAGTGATTGATATTTGTACAAAGGTGGGTCCTTTACTTGATAGTTCTGCTTAAAAATTAAGGTATTCATTCAATTCACGAAAGCCGCAAACCATACGACGAAACAGTGATGGCTGCCTTTACTTTTGGATAGGTGGTTTATACCTCCACGAAACACACTGAAAATAATGAATGATTCAATCTGTTGAAAGAACGTTTTGAAAATAATTCAAAATAGTTATTACTTAAAAGTGATTTGGCTTAAATTTATCTTTTTATATTGATTTTATATTTTAATTTCATATATTTTTTTCTGGTTATGTTTTTTTCATAAAAAATGGTTTCTATAAACTCCTATAAATAATTTTTTAAATTAATAATTTTTATTTATTTACAACCCCTTTACCCCATTTTATTTATCTAGAAGTTTCCCCTCTCTTCATATTATATTTTTTAGAAGTTTTTTAATTTTTTAAGAGAATTGTCATTAGCAGGTTTAAATTAATAATTTTTATTTATTTACAACCCCTTTACCCCCCTTTTATTTATCTAGAAGTTTCCCCTCTCTTTATATTATATTTTTTAGAAGTTTTTTAATTTTTTAAGAGAATTGTCATTAGCAGGATTGAACCCGATACTTTAGAGTTTGAAGCTAATACTCCAACCACTAAACTACTATAATTTCCCGATAATAATTTAAAAATAAATTATATTTATATACAAATAAATATATATCCGTGTAAATATATAAATACAAATATATTTATATATTTTGATATATTTATATAGTTATATATTTATATGTTGGATGTGAGGGCACACTCGAAAGTGAAAGTGTGTGTCGAGTGGGTTTTCAAAATTTGATGTTAAATTTGTGAGCATGTATCATTATATGAGTTTGTAATTTAATGACGGAATATCATCTTTATAATTTTATTTATATAATGATATAAAATAAATTGGGGAAACACGTTATTTGCTCTCAAGCGAAAAATACCAATTTTCGCTCAAGCGAGACTTGAGTGAGTGAATTTCAGTGAGCTTTAACATATTTTCACTCAAGCAAGAGTCAATCACACTTTCACCCTCGATCGAAAAATTCCAATATAATTTATTTGTAAGTTATTATCAAAAAATTATAGTAGTTTAGTGGTTGGGATATTAACTTTCAACCCTAAAATACTAAGTTCAAATGCTATCAGTGACAATTCATTAACTTAAGAGAATTTTTGGCTGAAAAAAAAATAAAAATACTTTCCGGAAAATATATACAAATAAATATATATTTACATGGATATATATATATATATATATATATATATATATATTTGTATATAAATATAATTTATTTGTAAGTTATTATCGAGAAAATTCTAGTAGTTTAGTGGTTGGAGTATCGATCTCCAACTCCAAAGTATTGGGTTCGAATCCTACTAATGACAATTTTCAAATTTAAGTGAGTTTTTGGGTGAAAAAAATAATAAAAAAAGACTTTCCACCGACGTAGAAAGTACTTCTACGTCGTCTCAATCTATAACCGACGTTAAATGTAACGACGTAGAAAATATATTTTGTAGTAGTGTATTTAAGTAATGAAAATAAAATAATCAATTTCTCAAGAAAAAAATATTTAAATGATTAAAACGATTAGAATTAATATATATTTAAACAAGGAAAAGAAAAGAAAATTAGTGTTATATGAAAAATATCTATACTATGAAATCATATTATTCGTTTAAAGCATTCATCACTTAATCAATATTTGTTGAAAATTTAGAATGGATCATATTTCAAAATCGTATTTAATATATATATATATATATATATATATATATATATATATATATATATATATATATATATTTCGAGTTAACACATTTCTATTATAATAATATCCTTAATATTAATTTTTATATTCAATATAATAAAACAGGACATTTTGGTTTTTAGTTAAAAGACTTTTACATTATTTAGAATAAAAATCAAGAATAATTTATATATATTTTTCTCTTTTAAGTTATAGAGAAATCTTGTAAAAACAAAATCATAATCAACAAAAAATTTATACATGAAATTTTACTAAAATAATACTATCCAAACGAAACACACTATATTTATATTTTGAATCATTAGAAAATAATTTTTACTCTTATTTAAATATTTCCTGGTGCTGCTCCGTTACAGTATATTAATAGGAGTTATTATTAGGACTAATCAAACCAAGGTCACGTCTTAGTACGAGTATTTTGTAAAGAAAATGAAAAATATGTTTGATTTGAAAATAGGTTAAATTTTGAAATTATTGGAACCACAAATTAGCATATCTCATCACTTTTATAAATAAACTATTAAATCATCTCTTCCTTCAAACTTATTAATGATTTATCGTAATTTAGAGTCGCTGTTGTCGTGCGACATCTTGTAAAGTTAAGGCAATACATTGGAATTGGAAGGACATTAATATTAATTTCAAAGGAAGGGACATGAGCATTAACAAATCAAAAACATCGACTTAAATGCTGATACCAAAATCAAACAAATTACTCAAATAATGAGTTTTAGAAGAAAAAAAATCATTCACTACTTAAACTACAAGTCTCTGTACAAAAAAAAAAAAAAGACTCGTCATAAGGAACTTAATGTAATTTTGGGATGTGGATAACCTAAAAGTTAAATAAATAAAACCTATGAATGAATTCAAGAACAATAGTTAATTAGTTAATATTTTTCTCCACAGTGATATTGAAATATTCTTACTTTATACTAAATATATTTTATAATTATATTATTAGAATTAAAATATAAATTAAAATGTTATATTGTATAAAAATAAAATAGTATAACTTATAAAGAAGAAATATTTATAATTTTAGTATGTTAAAGTTAAATATAATATTATATTTTTTATATGATTAACTGATGTTTGATTTGTTATATATTTCTGAAAATATATATCTTTTTACAAATATCTCTTTGCAACTACCATGTATTTGGAGTCTAATTTTAGATGACATTTAGAAATAAAAGAGGTCTACTTGATCTTGACATGGTTAAGTCAATATCAACTTTAAAAAAATTATAAAATTATATAATAATAATAATTATTATTATTGTTATCTTATTGATAAAAATATTAAATAATATATAATATTATTTTAAAACTTAATTGCATGATTTTCTTTTGTATTATCCAATAATTAAATTTATCGTTATTTTTATAACAACAACAATATTTATTAATTTAATAATATTGAATACTAATTAAGAATTAGATATAAATAATATATATTTTTTCCTAGTAGATGCATATGTTTGAAGAAAAACCTTACCTAGGTATCCTACCTTAGAAGTTAGAAATGTGTGGTGGGATATGGAGGAAGGGTATAATCAATGTAGAGGGGTATACTAACACCTTCACCCAACCTTATCTCCACGTCTACAAAAGCCAAAAATGAATCACTAATCAAATCACCCAACATCAACTGCGGACCCACAACATTTGCAAAACTGATAAATATCATAGTAGCCTCAGTACACTTATCAAATCACATGTTTCAATACAATCAACTTCACGGATTTCAAACAGTGAACATCTACATCCCTCGAAAGACCCAACACACCACCACCCTCCTGTAAATTGGTCGAGACAGAAACAAAATCATGTTCACATTTACATTGGGACAATATCTCACCAACCCTAGGTATCCACATAATACATACAATACTCGTACTTTCGTTGTCTCAGTATGCAAATCATACTCTGGTTGTTGCCAAAGCGAGTGTGGAAGGTGAAAGATATCAACTATCGTATCTACGTGTACAAAAAAAAACTTTTGTGATGGTTTTACATTCTCTTAGTTGTTTTAATCTCCTCAAAGTAATAAAAAAATAATTAAAATAGAAAATAAACTATTAAATTAAACTCTTAAAAGAAAAACAACAAAACTGGATTTAACTACTAGGATAAAAAAAAGGCTAATATGTAAATATAATTTTTCGTATTATTAGCTAAGTTATATATTAAAATATAAACTTAATTTGTTCAATGGTGATGCAGCACTTTGGCGGAGTCACAGGATGTAAGTTAGATTACTTGTGTCACCCGTATTTTAAAATAAATTATATTTTTTTAATTTAGGATCTTATGGTAGATTAATGGATTAATAAATTAACAAGTAATTTAAAAAAAATATTAATATATTTATATCACAATAATTTATTAATTTTTTAATATATTTTAAAATTTAAATTATATTAATATAAATTTAATTTTCATTTTATATATAATAATTTAATATATAAATTATAAAAAAACATTTATTAAATCTTAATATAAGAATTAAATATTATTTTTTATTATTATAATTTATTTTTACTCTAAAATAATAATTTACCTTAATCATTATATCTTAAAAAATATATTATAGATTTACTCTATATATTTTATCTTTAAAAAAATATTTTTTTATTGAATTAATCTATAATAATTATATATTTTTTACTTCAATAATATTATTTTTATTTAAAAATAATTATTATTTTATAAAATAATCGATTTATAAACTTATTAATTATTCAAACCTAAATCTTATATAAATGATGATCTAAGCAAACTAAACTAATTTAATTTAAAATATAAAATTTTTAATTGAATTATCTATTTATGGAACTTTTTGGATATTATGATAATAAACCTATTTTAACAATATGTTAATATCATTGACCAGCAAACTTACAAAAGAAAAAAAAAAATATGTCAAGTCGGGAGACTAATTCAACGTGAAAATGCAATTAAATTCATAAATAGATAAAATTGT